GTAAGATCGTGCTCGCTCATGAAAGCACCTTCTTCCAGAGACCACTGCTTGCTCCTGATCTGCTGCTAATTAGTCTCCGCCCTGTGATACTGAGTCATTATATTCTTTACCCTTTTCCATGGCTGCTTTTGGTGTGGAAACTGACACAAATGTTGCTCCCCTGCTGGAAATCATCATGTCATCTTCATCGTCAGTACCTGTAAGCCCAGATGAGAAGGGAATAATTTATTTTTTTATTTTGGATAATGATCTCTGCCAGGAATGCTTTGAAGCTCAGCCATGCTATGGTGGTACAGTGCACATACCATCTGACTTGTTTCTGTAATGTCACAAATTTTAACTAAAAGCAGAAAAGCTCTTAAGCAGCCTCTAAAGCTGCTGCCAGGAAAAGGTGGAGGGATTCTACGCTTCAGCTCTTCAGTACTTTGACACCAGTTGCCTCTGTGCTTGACATGAGGTAAACATTGGTTTCAGCCCTACAGCTTCCCTGCATCCCCTTGCTCTGTGTATCACTGGACTAAATGCTCTAGCCTCCTGCTTCGTGTGGTTTTGCTTTATATTCTTGATTGAGAAAGAAGGGCACAGGCTCCAAGGGTCACCAGTGTCTTTCACTGGTATGACTGACTTCCTCCCTGAATCCCTGCCGGCATTATGAGCACAGAGAACGTGTCCTTCTGCTGAACTGTGCTCAGCCGGGGCTGGTTCGGGCTTGGTGCTGTGACTCAGATGAGCTGGAGAGAGACCCTTGGGACTTATGGAAGCAATTAGCTGAAGATGACTGAGATGGAAAGTTGCTGGCATAGTGGGTTACTGCAGCAGATGTGTGCAGTCATCCCGTTACGTCTTAACCCCTGCAGTGGGACGAGCCTCCTGGCAGAGCCCGCTGTGACGGGCAGTGACAAAGCAGTAGTGGCTGTGCCCAGGCAAAAGGAGCAAAGTGGAAGTGGGTCATTAAAAACTAATTAACAAATAGTAGGATGCAGCTAGCAGTTCCAAGTATCCGTGTCCCATGCTTTGTTGCTCCTTCCTGTATCACCTCTGAACCCCCAGTGCCTGCTGTTTCCCTGTCCTCAGCACAGTGGGGCTAGGTGGCTCCTCACCTTTCTGGCAGAGCTTGTCAGCTCAAAATCTGTTATTTGTCCTTACAGCCAGCACCTGCCTTCGGTTGGCAGCTGGGAATGCTTTGGGGCTTGAGGTGCTTGGCTTTTGGTGGGGGATAAAAATGCAAACAGCCTTGGATGAGCCTGTCTGCCCGGGTCTGGACAGAGCAGGGAGTGTAATGGAGCTTGGCTCAGGGCTGGGAGGAGGCTTTGGAGCCCTCTCCACTCAGCATGTGCTGTGTATGTCAGCAAACCTCTGTTTCACTTTGCTGTGTTCCTGGGGGAATTAGGATGGCTGTGTCAAGTAATTCCACCCATTGCATGTGTACTACGCTGACAAAACTGATGTTGACTGTCTGAAAAGGCCACATAGATGGTGACAGCTGCCAGTGACTCATTTGATGGAAGGATAAGAAGATCATAATAAAACAATTTTCCTGTGGCACAGTGCTTACAAGAGTTGGAGTAGCCCAAGCACCCAGTGACTGGAGGCTTTTTTCTACTTTTTTTAAAAATCTTTCTCTTAAGCATTTATTGCAATGAAAATAAAGATGCAGGAAGAGGAAGAAGAGAGCATCTGAAATGTTTTAAAATAAATATGGCTTTTTTCGAACATGCTTGGTGAAACAGTTCTACGGTAATACCAATAATTGTGAAAGGGACAAATCCCCACCACTGAATATTTGTTCCCCTTGCAGCGAGCATTGGTAAAACTCAGTCTCTGACCTTACAGCACTAGTTTACAGTATCAGTAGTTTCCTGCCATGACTCAGTGGCTGGAACAGTAATATCTGTCAGTCTTTTTTTCCTCTCTCTTTCCAAATCTCTTTTGAAGCTTTTCTGAGTGGGCGGGGAAAGGCAAGTGACAGATATAGTCCTGGTTCTTGCCCTTCCTCTTGCACCTTTTAATTTTACAAATCAACCTGCTCCTGCTTTTCTGCCCTTTTATCCATCAGGCTTCCCTTTCACATAGTCCCTGAGCAAATCTTACTTTCCTTTTCGTTCCTACTGGTGGTGGCTAGGCCTGCTGATAGTGCCAGGGAAATACTGAGCTCATTCCTGCCCTGGCTTTTTCCCCTTGCTGGTGCATCTCTCTTTTGCTATCCCGATCAAACTTCACATCCTCCCTTCCTCTGCAGTTATCTTGCTGAGCCTGCACTGCTATAATAAACCCTGCTACCAGCAGATTGATGGGTTTTGTACAGTCTGGGCCGGGTACAGTGTATGGTTGAGGATAGAGTACAAGCTGCCTGTAGGACTGGGGGCAGCTTGAGCTGTGAAGGCACTGCTTCACCTGGGGGTCCTCTGCAGCTGGAATAGCAAGTGATGGAGTAAGACAAAAGTAAACCCCACTCACGTGGAAATAGTCTTAATTCTGCCCTGTGGCCTTCCTGTCACAGGCTTCCCCTGGCCCAAGGCTAAGAAGCAGCAAGTGATGTTTATTCCTGTCGGTTGTCACCAAGCCCTGAGACCTTCCCAGGAGCCTGGAGTAAAACCCTCCCACTTCTGCAGCCTCCGGCCTGAAGCCCTGGCTCGGGCTTAGGGCTGCTAGGAACAAGGGTGCTTCACTGCATCCGGAGGGGCAGCCTTTCACTGTCCTCACAAAGTATAAATGGCTGCTTGTACTGCTGACTGTGCCTTCTAACCCTACTTTTAGTCTGGCCGACAGAGCAAAGTGCCCCTCTTGCCAACATTTAAAAACAAAACAAAGCCCTGCAGAGTCTGTGTATTGATACTGATGTAAGGCTCCCAGATTTTCTGATGCTATGCAAATCCTGGCTCTCCCGGTTCCCTTGTGGAGATGCCTAGTCCTACACCTCTGAGCAGCACTCTGTGAACTCGCTTCACACCACTCAGTTGAGTCTCTTGAATTTGCAAATTATGGTCATAAGCCAATCTTCTAGAATGGCAAATTTATTTCATAATTTGAGTTTTGTGATTTCTGTTGAACAAAATCCTTGTATAGCCCATGGATTAGGAACCTGCTTTACTAAAAAAAAATTAGCTTGATTCTGTGGTTCTGGAGTAAGTTATAATCATGGTTCTGCTGCATGCATGCAGGAGGTGTGTATTTGGGAGGCTGACAACAGATAGGAGTGAAATTCAGGCCAAAATTAAGTGGAAAATTAAGTCTACTGATGGCCATCTTGAGCTTCCTTTGATCCCTTAACTTCTACCTAACATAGTAAGTCTGCGGGCTCCCTTGAAGCCACTGGTGTGTGGAGTTGGCTGGTGTTTCTCTGAGGTTCCCTCTTGAGGGCATGTTGGGAATTGGCATACAGGGCCTGGACATGAGTCCGTGGAACAATTGTTCGATCTGAGCTTGCCTTAAGCAACCAGGAGTAGGCCTTAGAAAATCTCATGGCCTGCTGTAGCTGAGCAAACCAAGCTACCAGGGTAACTGTGAGAAGCTCCCACGGCAATGACTCCCGCATCGCCCTATTAAGGAACTCAGAAAAATATTGTTACCAGGAGCTGGCCTCAAGGACAAGGTCTACGTGACCGCTAATCACAAGGGGGGTTGTTTTCCTGACTGCTAATCACAAGGGGGGTTCTTTTCTTGCAGGTGGGGTTGTTTTCTTGTAGTTGTTTGTCTGAGTGCTTTTGACCAATAATCTTGTGTGAAACACTGTCTGCCCCTGTTAAGTTCACTCTAAAAGTTAGGCTATTCGGGCAATAAAATGGAGCAGCATGATCTGACTCAACTGGTGTCTGTCGTGCTTTCAGCTGTGGATCCCAACAAGGGCACATGAGGCTCAGGAACAACTTCAGACATGCAGTTTGTCCACCACTTGCTGCAGGGCACTTGAGTCTTCTTCTGGTAGGTGTGGAGGCCAAAATGAAGCTCAGGATACTTGAATTTACTGGTATCAGTTGTCAAAGTTGGCCGCAGCTCTTGCAGCATCTGTTTTTGGGAATCCTCATGCTAATGTAGGCAATGAAGTAGAAATGTGTTTCAAGCCAAAAATTTGAGGGAAGGTCTGCTGATGCCAGTCTGCCACTTCTGCAGCAGGACATGGAAAATCTGGTAACAGCTCTGGTTCTCCTCCAGAGACCTCTAGCACTGGCCCTGATCTGGAATCAAACTAGGGATGTGTCTTCAGTGAGAGTGTTGGAAAACTCATGATTGGGGTTCTGCAGCTGCTGTTCTAGGGACAGAAGCCTTACCGAACCCTGATTTTTTTGAAACCAAGCTATAAACCTGGCTTGCTCTGGACACTGCGTTAGCAATACATCTCAGGCCAAACTTGGAAGTCATCATAAGCTTTTGTTTAGGCTGTGGTCTAAAGATGCTTTTCGGAGAAAAAAAAAAAAAAGGAGAAAGCAGGCTACTGAAATCAGCCCTCAACTTAGCTGTGCAGTACTTGCTAGTGTGGAGATGCTGTTTTGCCTCTGTGACATACATTTAGGAGAGCCCTTACCTGCAAAATAAGACAGCAGAAAAGGGGAAGAAAAAAATGCTTTTCATGTGGAATATAATGTTAGCTAGTAGTTTCAGTGTATGCGCACCAGATTGCTCTTTAGCTCGCAGGACTTACAAAATCAGGGTTTTAGCTATACGCAAAGAAACTTGTAATTGTCTGGGTGAGAGAGGAAGAACACTTTTCAGGACTGTGTTAGGTAGAAACTAGCTGCACTCGCTTCACACGAAAGTGAAGAGGCTGACCTGTCAGCAGAGCAGAGTTTCTCATAAACGCTGCTCGAAATCAGCCTTCCTGGAGCGGGGTCTCCCCTTTCTGGCTGTGGACGTGCAGCTGTGCCGCTCGGCTGGCGGCTCTGGGAACCGTTCTCAGCGCCTGCAGACTAGGTGTGAGTGCAGGGCGAAGCGCTGCGCTTTGAAATGTGCTCTTCTCTTGTCTTAGCTTGGACGTTTACTTATCCTTATTTTGATTTTCCAAGCGTGCCGTGTCCGATGCGAGTGCAGCCCTCCCAGGCGCCGAAGTGCCGTCGTGTACTCAGTTGCCCTGCAGCAAGCAGTACACCTGCCGGCCCCCCGCCACCTGCCGCCACCGCCGTGTCCCCGGCCCGGCCCCGGCCGCCGCTCGCCGGGCCACCGGCGCCCTCTCTCGGCTCCCCGCGGCCGGGGCTGCCGCCTGGAGCCGGCCGTGCGCGATCCCCGCAGCCGCGGGAGGTCGGGAGCTGCACGAAATCCTCGGCAGCGCCTGCAGGATGATGTCTGTCCCCGGCCGGTGCGCACAGCGGCTCTGCCCGAAGGCTCGGTTCTCCCGGATCCCCAATTTGTAGGGGATCTGGTGTGCTAGGAGGAGGAGAAGCTGCCTTAAATTTTAGGTCTTGGTCAAGTTGTGCTGTTCAACAGAGGCAGGCAGCTGCTGGGAAGTAGGTAGTGGGATTTCCCTTCCAAATCCTTCACTTGACAGTTCTTTTCCCCAGTTACTTCTTCTGAACCAAGCCCTGTCAGCAGAGAGCTTTGCTTGTACTAATGAGGTAGGAATTTATCAACACACAGCAGCTCTCAAACTCGTGAAAAGACAGACTGGGTGAGGGACTGTCCTAGAGAGCTCCCAGGGGACGCCAGGTTTTGAGAGTGAGCAGCTCAGGTCTGGCTGAATAATAACAATAACCCGTGATCTAAATTCTCTACTGCAAACCGCTCTTCCGCCTGGCCTGAAGTTTTGGGTTTGCTAATTTTTTAATAGTGTGCGGTTGGGAGTATTATTTGTGTTAATTTCCGAAAATCTCTTCCTCACACTGCTGTTTCCAAATTCAAATTTTAATGTCGAATACCAGAACTTATGTGAAATCTCTTAATGCCTCTGGAAACCAAGAAAGTGAAACCAAGTCCTCTCATTTCAGAGCAGCATTTTGTAATAAGAAAAGTAGCAGGCCTTTGCTCCGACAAACACCGCAGTGAGCGTATTAGGTCCGAATGCTGGGGGATTTCAAAGCAGGTCAAGCATTCCCTTTGGATCGTACTGCCAGCGTGTCCAGGCATTGCTGTAACTCTGCTGTGGTCACAGTCAAAAGAGATGGTGGTGCCTGAGGAAGAAGCAGTTGGCAGCAGAACTTCACACCTCACTTAAACCCAAGGCTCTTATTAGAGGTTATGGAGCCTGTGAGCTTCTCTTTGTTCTCTGACCATGCAGGAACAAGGAAAAACTATCTGTTAGTAAAAGTGGAATTGTACAAGGTTGCTAGAGTGCGGAAGCTGGCCCTGGAGATGCGAGAGACTCCCAAAGCCCTTTCAGCCCAACAAGGAGGCAATGCTGATAGAAAAGGCAGCCACCAAGCCCCACATCCAGCTGGAGAGCCTGATGTACTGGCTTTTTTTTTTTTCTGCAAGTTTTTTTTTTTTTTTCCTGCACATCCTTCAGTCTGGCCTGTTCACAAGCAGGAGGTAGAAATAATTTTGGAGAAAACATCTCTGCAGTTCTGGGCTGTTCCTTTGTTTTCTACAGAAAAGACAGACTGGACCAGAAGATTGGGAGTCCTTAACCTGTAGGTATTGAGGGGATTTCTGTCAGCTTATGTGCTCTCCAGGCCTTATTTCTCAGAAATTCAAGGAAGCAGAGGGGTGGAGATGATGGAAGGTGGATTTTTGGCACAGTTTGCTGCATAGGCCGATGATATATATCAAAATATCATCCAGCACAGTTTGTCAGGACTTGGTGTGTCACCTAGTAACAGGCTTTGCAATTAGATCTCTTGTTGCTCTTACAAGTTTAAAAAATCCCACTGGCCTTGTGAGGACTCCACCACCCATGTTTCTCTCTCCAAGGAGGTGCTCTGTCTGATAGCCCCAGCATGTTTTGTACTGACTCCAGTTCCAAAGCCATGGAAATCTGGGGCATGTCTCCTCCCTGAGCTCCAACGCTCATCATCTTCTCCTCTAGCATTTGTCAGGCAGCTCAGTGTGCTGCCTTCTGAACCTCTCTGGTGCATTGCTGTGCGGTCAGATGTGCCATTGGGAAAGCCCATCCTTTCCTGCAGCTTTCTGCGAGGGTCTGGTTCCCCTCTCCACGACCCACCTGGCATTGGGAGCTCCCACAAACCTTTGAAGCCCGAGAAATTTTGCTTCTGAAACTCCGGACACATCAGGTTGACAGCAGCTCAACATCTGGAGTAGCAACCTAAATATTTATATGTACAGCGAGTCATGGTGGTGGTGGTAAATCATCCTGGTTAATGAATTTTCAGCATGGCTTTAGGTAGCTATTGTTTTTGTAAACAAATGGTTTCACTCTGCATGTTTCTCCATAAGGGATGGTTTGAGAAAGCGCTGCTGACAGCTGCGAGCAAGTAGCGGTGCTGTATCAGACATTTTATGCCCCTTTGATGTCACGCGCTATGTGGTAATGCAGCACGGTGGTGGTTAATGAGAAAGCGGGGTACGCTGCCTCCTGTCATTCCTAGACAAGAGCTGCAGGCTCTTGCACGTGTCTTTAATTCTGTGTGCGAGCATCCTGCAGAATGGTGGGCAGCTTCGGTGAGACTTTCGAGTGATTTGTTTTCTACAGCACTGAACAAGCAGCCTGGCTCAGCACAGCTTCAAAGAATGACATTTTTAATATTTTGATTGACTCAGTACAAAAAGGGATGAGACTCCAGCAGCTTGGAAAGGCACAGTTATTGTGGTAGGTGTTACCCAGTGATTAATGTCTCTTACTTTAAATCCAAACCTCTCAGCTCCTTTCATACATTTTTGCTAGCAACAGCAGATCCTCTGCCAGTCTCCTAGGTCTGAATTTCTTGAGGTGCAGACAGTGCCAATTTTGGTTTCTTGGCAATTTTGGGCTTAGGAGTTCAGCTTTGACTACGCGTTCAGATCCCTGAGTATTCTGCATGGAAGTTGTTGATCTGCGGAGCTGATTTATGGAATGTATTATTCTGCTTTCCTGCAGCATTTTTACTGTATGGAAAACATTTTGTGCTTATTATCACTTGCCACATGCATTTAATCTATTTTTGGTAATTCTTCAGGGCCCATCACCATGGTATCCTAGCACCAGTGAACATAATGCCCATATCCATTCAATGTGAACTGCTGATGCACAACTCCTTTTAATATTAACATGGCTTCGTTATGTTACTTATTATTTTTTTTCAAATACAAAATGTTTGTGCTTAAAAATAAAGACTTAAAGCTAAAGCCACGTGTACTATAGATGGAACCATTTCTGGCTGAACGAGCTGAGTTAACCAGCCCAAGGGGCTGGGCCTGCCTCTTTCAGCTGGCTGCACCTTATGCTGTTGCTGATACACTTGAGATAACTTTTAAAAAGGATCCGTGTCACTCATAGTGGCCAAAGTACCATGCTCTGTCTTGTGGCTCTATCTAGATATTTTTTGTGTGTGCTGGATACTCCGTGGAGTGTACAGCCTGTGACAGGTTGCCATTGGTGTAACGTACTGAGGGGGACGGTCAGTAAACCTGCTGGATAGCAGCAGATCCAGGAGTGCTGAGTGCTGCCAGTCTCCAGTGTCACTTGCTGTCCCCCTTCCAGCACTGTTGATGGCACAACAGTAGTGGTTCAGTCAGTTCTCTCTGAGCTCACACAGTAGGAAAATGAAGTGTTCAGGGGCCGTAAGTGATGAGTATGTAGGAAATAATGCTGTAATAGGTTGTGATTCAGCTTCTACTTTTTCCAACAACTGAAATTTTCTAAGGTAAATGGCTCGGTGAAAGACAATAACATGCACATTTACCATGTTCAGCGTTTTTTGTATTACCTATGTTTATCTCTTGATAAATCATTATGCAAATAATTCTGGAATAAATGCTACAAAACTAAAATGTGAGTGAAAACAAGGATGTATTCATTCTTTCGGCATGTACAAGCTTAGGGTGTATTTAAAATACACAAAAGTGAGCTACATGCGAAATCTAAACACCTCTGAATCAAACCAACTTTCTGGGCAGATATTCAGAGACAAGGCAATTCTGAGAGCTGAGTGGCATCTCCTGGAGTTGAGTACTGGTGTTGAGTCTCATCAGGGCTCTGCACCTCATCTGTGTATCCAACTAAAAGTTAACAGGGTAGCTTTATATTTTAAGGCAAGGATCCACAAAGGTGCTGGATGACTTATGTGCCAATGAGAAATCATTCTAAAGCTTTCTTATTTCTTCTCTAACAGTGGCAAATCACCCCCTTTTTTTTTTGTGACTTCTTATGTACTTCTTTACTGTGTTCCTGTGTCAAAAACCAAGTGGCATTGCATTTACATGTATAGCTCTTGGTATGGCAACTTTTAAAAACACTCCCCAACATGGGGATTTTCTTCATGCCGAGAAAATACCCAGACGAGTGGTTGCATCTCTTGGCAGAGGACACATCCCACCTGCTTGAGCCACTGACATCCCAGCTCTGTTAATGTCCCTGCTGAGGGGCAGGGGGAGCGCTGCCCGAGTGTGTTGGGGTGGGATGAGCCATGCTGTGCGCATCCAGCTGCTGCACAGCTCCCAGGTAGCTCCAGGTTGCCAGGTGCTCCCAGGAGGTAAGCTGTTGGGACTGGAGGTCAAAGCAATGCGATGCACTCTGATATATAGCACCTAGGCCAGACAACTCAGGGTAATGAGCAGCTCATTGACCGTGCAAGTGAGTGCCACCTCTGCCAGTAACAGCACTAGTTCCTTACCTTAGTCTGGAGTGATGTCCTTGTTCTGTGTGTTAGTCTTCTAACACCTCTACAGGAATGGTGTGCATTGGAGGGGTGACTTCAGGAGCAATGCAGGCTCCCAGCTCGGCCTGTTCATGTCAGTTTCCCCTCAGTGCTGTGGTGCAACTGACTCCTGTTTCACTTTTGATCAGATCTCTCTCTGGAGAGCTACTGTCTGGACAACTTCTCTCCCCGTAGTTGTGAAGCTGATAATTCCTGCATGGCAGAAACATCTTTCAGTCTTCCATGTTGAATTATTTTTTTTTTTTTCCCCAAAACATTCCTGCAAGTTCTCAAAAAAAAAAAAAAAAAAAAGTTTTGATGTCCAAACCTATCTGGCAATCCTTAATGCGAAGCCTGGACAGAGGCAGGCAGCTCTGCTGCAGAGCCCAGTATCACACAGTGTATTCTTCCTTCTCAGCTGTGCACTGTTGCTAACAGTTCTCTGCCTCTGCTTTTCTGATCAGTTTTACATTCTTCTATATTTTCTTTGGTTGTGCTTCCCTAATTTGCTTATGACAACATCAAGCCAAATAGCATTGATCTAGCTACCATTTATTTTGGCGAGTAAGGGCTGGAAACAATCAGGACTCAGCAGTCTCCCACGTAATGCATCCAAAGCCCAAACCTCATGAGTAGCAGCAGGACCTGAATAGTACAGAATTGACACACAAAATCACAATATCAATAGTAAAACACCAGAATAGTCTACTGAGTGACAAATCAGTTGTCCCTTTCACTAATTCCGAAACTAGATATGTGTGTTTTTGATTCAAACAGGCAGTCTAGAGAAGCTGTTTTCACTTCACCAACATGTGGCACGCTGACATTTATTCTTTCCACTCTAGTGAATGGAATTAATACAATTTCTTTTAAAAAAGTTAATCACAGGCTAGCTTTTTCCTCTTTCCCCTGCTCCTGGTGGGCTCAGGGAAAGCCTGCCACGTACTACACGAAAGGGATTCACGCTGAGCATGCAAGCTGGGCTGGAAGGAGCTGGTGCAGCACTCCCTGTCTGTGACACACAGTACGCTGCTTGCCCATTTACTGCAGGCTTCATGCTGTATCCACTGGAGTTTGGTGGTGAACATTTCACTGGGAGCAGCTGCAGCTCCAATAAGCACCAGGGGCGACTCACACTTCCAAGCTCTCATGATAGTATTTTTCCCTGGCTAAATGAGTGCTTTTGTTGGCTTTTGTGGTTTTTCATTTTGCTATTTTGGTACTGCGTGCTCCCAGAATGAACTGCTTGCTGGGGCACTTTCTAGTCATCGTTCCAGTGATATTTTGGTAATGTATATGGTGTTTTAAGAGGAGATTGGTATTTCTGAACAATATCAAGCGCTGGTCCTAGTCCTTGCAAAAATTCAAAAGGATGATTCAGAGAGCCTAAGGTCAAAGCACAAGCCCAGCAGGCGTAACCTGTGCGTTACGCAGCTCTCTTGCTCATTGCTGTTTCACAAACCGTGCCTGTCTGCTGGTAACTTCACAAACAACATCCTTGAAGGGGAATAACAATTTACAGCAAGCTTCTAGCAGGCGATGCGCACCAGTGATCAGTGATCTTGGTCTTTCCTTTTGCCACTTGCACGCTGACATCTTTTCTGTAGCAAAGCTTATATTTTATGCTTGGGTTCAAACTCCCCACATTCTTCTGGTTTCTGTCTTCTCCATTGAGGTTCCAGAAATAAAATAAGCTTCTAATCATTTCTTTGTAACTGAATGACTGGAAATGTAAGTGTGAAGGGAAATGTAAAGTCTCTTCCTGTTGCTTATTAGTCAATGTAATACATTTTCTAGTCTCAGAGAGATTACAGTAATATTTTATGCCACTTTTTTCTAATCTGCTTTCTCAATTATCAGATCCCTTGGAGGAAAACTTTTCAATTCAGTCATTAGAATAACCAGAGTTGGTTTATGTGCTGTTTCCATTTTCATTATTCAAGTCTGTATCACAAAAGGGCAAAGAATAACAGCACTTGTAAGACTGTCTGGCCCCAGCCCGTCAAGGAATATAGCAAAATGTGGGTTGCCCAGCTGCTCACTCGAAGTCCAGGGCTACTGCCGTGTTTACCACTGCTTATTTTTATTGGCTTGTGTTTTAGCTTTTACTCTGTGTGAGAGAAGTTAACTCTAAATGTTGCTTTAAAAGACTGTAAGCAAAAGGAGGGAAAGACCCTAAACTTGAGGCAAGCAAGACAAGAGCATGGCTTTACTATCACGCTGTAATCATTCTTTCCATTAGTCTCAAGGATTATAAATTAATGAATCCACTATTTATTCTTACTCTCTCAGTGAAGCAGTTGGTTAAGCCCATAAACAGCATGAGTCTGTAAATATGAAAAGACTTGGCATTCGATGCTTTCTGTCATGCCAGTGGGCTTGCTGGTTTCTGTTTTCCTCTTAATGTTTCTGTTCCTAAAACACCTTGCTGTGCACGCCCCATGCCAGGATTATTTTGGGGAGCTAGCAATCGTTTCCATGTCAGCCCAGGATCCACTCATGCTGAGGGAATTCAGAGGCCCTGCTGCAGGATGCAGCTGGGGCTGGAGTCATGGTGTGGGCAGAGGCCACAGCGGGTGGACACGTGCTTAGGGCCCTCGCTTGGGAAGGCAGGAGATGAGCCTGACGGTGAGTGGGAGTCCTCAGCAGTGGCACCCAGGCCATGGGCAGCAGTGGGGCACCTACGTTTGGGAAGCCTTGTTTAACCATTGTTCTCTCTGGGATATATATAATGCAGAGACAGAAAACCTGTACCCTTGAACCACTGCAGAGAAGACAGGTGTTTCCTCCTTGTAAGGGAAGCTTTCAGATGACAGCTATGGCAAAGCACACATTTTAAAGAATTCAATTGTATACCAATTAGCCATAATGAAATAAGTTTAGTGGGGATGTTTTTATACGGAAGTGAGCGTCAGCTGCTGCAATGTGCAATGTGAATGGAAGTATCCTTCATTACAGGGCTTTGCTGTGAGAGGGTCAGAGATGTAATCGTTTGCAGCTGTTCCAGTCTTGTTTCCACTGTCAGTGTAAATACTGAGGATGAGTGCACAAACCGGCTAGACTTTAGGCTGACCTAGACAGCTTCTGGAAACTCAGGATATGCCATTCCTTAAAGGCTCTTAATTTTTCCCATCCCACCCTGATTGAAAACATTCCTCCTTCAGCCAAAATGTGGAGGAGAGAGCAAAGGATCCGGTTCAGCTCCTGTTGAGAGCAGTGACCAGTCTTAGCCAGGGCGAGAGTGGCTGAGAGTGGGTGTCAGCAGCCTGCTGCAGCAAATCAGTCTGACCCTGGTGTTTAGGAATTCAGGCTGTCTGTCCATGCCCCCACCCCACCCATCTTTATTTTTTTTATTTTACTAAGTATGAAGTCAAAAACTCTGGAGTCAGATTCTGTTCTGGCACTGGAGCAGGGACTTATCAGTTCAACAACAATTTCCTCTCCTTACACCATCTGAAGATCTGGTTCATTGTGACTGCTGAGAGGCATTTTGTACATCCTGTCTTATAGCACAGGTCTGCTGCAAGAAAAAAGGAAACAAGGACAAAAGCAAAAGGACTCCTAGGTGAAGCACCTTACCCATGCCATAGTGAGCCCACGTAGGTAAAGGAGCCACGGTGAGCACACAGGTTAAAGGAGCACTGAAAGAGCTCAGTTCCTCTGAGCAACAGTATAGATTATTTCCCGTTTAAAGACAAAAAATTTAAGAAAGAAACAAAGGACGAAAGGGTTTTGTTAGGAAGCAAATAGTTTATAATGAGTCTGACCATGGCTGCATATACCAGGCTGCTGTTTACTACTCGGAGGAGTCACATTTTAGCCACAAATGGTTGATGGAGGAAAAGCCACAGTCAGTGTAATTGATTACTACTGGGGCTGATCACTGGACATGTTAATTTTTTATTTTTGCAAATTAACTTGTGGACTTGTATATGTAAATGAGTTAAATTCGTGTCTGGCTGTCTGAAAAGTGATTAATCCAGAGAGAAAACACATGGGTCAGCCCTTGAGATAGAATCATAGAATCATAGAATATCCTGAGTTGGAAGGGACCCTTAAGGATCATCAAGTCCAACTCTTGACACCGCACAGGTCTACCCAAGTTCAGACCATG